CACAAACAAACATCATTAATACAATAATATAATATTATCATTTTACCTATTATACTGTATTAAAATAATAATATACACACATTAACTGACTGACTATGTTTATTATTAGGAGAAGAGACTGGAGAGGTGATGTGGGGCAGTAGTTATGTAACCCTCACAAAACCATCAGCAGGTCAGTGTCAGGAAGTGATCAGTCAATTAACGGACAGTCATCAGGACATTATCCTTCATCACTCATCACCTGATATTGTATACCTATTGATGTCACTAGCACTGGACATAAGAACAATAAAGTGGATTGGTATACATAACACTAAAATAACAAAAGATGTCATCATCTTACTGTCACACAAAATAACAAACAATACTTCATTGAAGACACTATCAATCAGTCTCGATTCCATCAATGATGATGGAGTCATTGCACTAACACAATCATTAATTAATAATAAAACAATTACTGGCTTATATCTTAATAACAATCCTGACATCACTTCAACCAGTGCTCAGTCACTAGCTGAACTTTTACTCTACAACCACACACTATCTCTCCTTTATCTCCACCGTACTAACATTGATAGTGATGGAGTACTGGTACTGATGGAATCTCTCAGGACCAATAATACACTAAGGAGACTATGGCTAGACAAGAAACATAAACAAACTTGCTCTTCTTTATCTTATTATAAAACTATTGAAAACAAATTAGTCTTTATGTGATTATTCCATATACCGTACAGAAGGAAATTTTGGAGGGACTAAATTTTGGCAAATTGCTAAATTTTGGTGATTGGCGAATTTTAATTTGGCGAATTTGTGGCCACGTGCCATTGAGCATGCGTATAATGGCTTAAAATGGCGAATTTTTATTTTGGCGAATGGCTATCAAAACGCCAAATTCGCCAAATTTAACTACCTCCAAAATTTCCTTCCATACGGTACATTACTTTATTTATAAACAATTTATATTATTAAAAGGACAAAATAATTTTAAAATACATGTATATGAGCCTCCAAATTGACCACACCCCTAATGGCAAGAACACACGTACATTATTCACATGAGGGAAAGAGAGAGAGAGAGAAATGAAAGAAGAAGAATAGGGTAAAAGAGACATATTCCATTTGTCACAGCAAGTTAGTAACCACATTTGCATGCAAAGCTAGATTTACAGTTAAGGTAACAGTCAAAATTGCATGGGCGATCTAACTTTTCCATACAAAGAAGCTTTGAATTTGACACAAAATTTGCCAAAATTTACCTTTACTTTGCATTTTGTAAGCCTGTTTCTAGGGTTTCCCCATAAAGTATAAGTAAATTTTGAAATTCAAAAGAAAGCCAATTTTGATTAGAATCACCTCAAACTTTCTACACAACATAAGAACATAGTATAACAAGAAAATTATTAAAAAAGAAAATTCTCTCTTCCATTTTTGACAAAATCTGTCCATTTACATACATATCATTAATTACCTGAATCCATCCATATCAGTACGACTATCACAGAAAGGAGTGTATCCATAAGGTGCTTTATCCAATGGCTCCTCCAACAATTCCTTCATATCAGTACGAACCACCTATTAATAACCATTAATAACTATTAATAATCATTAATAACTTTTATAACTATTTATAACTAATTATAAAAATTAATCATTTATAACTATTTATAATTAATTATAATTATTATTAATTTTATAACTAAATTGTATACCTGGTCGCCATCAACAAAAATTATTTTCTTAATAATTAATGGAAAAAGTAAATCTAGAAATAATAATTATTTTGTACCTGAAATAATAATAATAATTATTATTATTAATAAAATTAATAATTACTCATGCCCAGATTAATCTTTGTTTTTCAGTTTGTCCATGAAGCCAGTGTGGCCACTTGTACTGTACCAGCTCATACTCAAACCCATACCTCTCAGCCATCCTGGGAATGAAATCCTGAGAATGAAACAATCAATAATAATAATAATAATAATAATAATAATAAATTTTA